TTTTAATGTAAACCTTTACAGCAACCATGCTCTCCTTTACCCCAACTTTGTTAGTACTTCCTGATAAAACTACTAAAAAACTAAATCATTCAGATTATCTGTTTTCTCCTGATTTTAAATCTGGCTAGAAGCAGCTATCAGTACTCATGCCACAGCCTGAACATGGGCTAGTTTGAAATTTTCTACAGCAGGTTAATTTTTTTTTTCCCCCCTCTGGTCCTGGGAACCAAACTCACAACCTTGCGCTTGCCAGGCAGGCGCTTTTGCCACTGAGCTAAATCCCCAGCCCCAGCAGGTTAATTATTGTGTTGCCCTTAATCTCCATCTCCTGCAAAGTCTAAACACAGGGCAAAATGTAGACAACATTTTTGCTAAAATGAAACACACAAGGTTCCTAGTCCAGTTTCCAGTGAAATCCTCACTCTCAGTTGAAATCTTGATAACTTTACCTTTGCAGTTCAAATTCCTAACAGCATTCTAGTCTTCAGAGCTTTGACCAAAATCTCTCCTTATAGCAAACCAGGAATCCTTTAGCCCATTTCTCCAAACTTTTCCAAACTCTTCCTGCAACCAAGCTCCAAAGGCTTCTTCTAAATGTGGTCAGATATAGTCACAGGAATGATCCCACTTCTCTGGTACCAGTGTCTTGGCCACTTTCTTATACAGGGACAAACGACCTGATACCTATAACTTAAAGGAGGAGAGGTATATTTTGATTCAGTTTCACTCCATGGTTGGCAGGATTCAAAGTGAAAGGGACCTGGTGGAAATGCCTGGGTGTATGAAAGCTGCACACCCCATTGGTGTCCAGGCAGCAGAATAGAAGGAGGAACTGGGGACAAGAATACATCCTTCCAGGTAATGCTCACAGTGATCTGCCCTTTCTGATCAGGAATGAAGTCCAAACACATGAGACTTCTGTGGGACATTTAAATTTGATCCATAATTGGTTCATATTTTATGTATTGGTTTATAAATAGCTATTTTCTACTCAACCTAATACTAGGAAAACTTCAAAAGTAATTAAAATAGAGACATGGATAAAAATTTCATTGTATGTATTATAAAAAGGAAGAAACAGTAATGGCTCTTAAACATGGAAACAGCCTAAAAAAGAACAAGTACAAATTAAAACTACATTAAATTTCTTTAAACCTATCTGATTGGACAGTAAAATTAATATTTTAGTTGATGCATGTTTTAGATTGCAACATGTAATCTTATACATTTTTTAATGTTCAGTTTTCAGTTTCATTGATTTCTAAAGTAATTTTTATTATTTTCTGCTTCTTTTGAATTAATTAATTCTATATTATTGCATTTTTAAGATGAACATTTATTGATCTTATATCTTTTTTCATGGCAAGGATATTCATTCAGTGCTATAACTTTCCCACTAAGACCTGTCTTATCCTACAAATCTCTTTGCCAACATTATGAATATGAT